CAATCCTCCCCCCTCCTACCACTATTCCCCTTCCTCTCTGTGCTCAGCAGATTAGGGCAGTGAGGAGGCACCGCAGGGATGTGGGCGTGCCTCAGCCTGCTCGTCACTCTCTGCCTGCTCCATGGGGGCGGTGCAGAGAGTGACGGGGGTGGGCCTCGTTGTCAGCTGCCACCAGCCTGGAAGATAGGCGAGGTGGATCCAATGAAGGAGGCGATGGGCCAGGTGACAGTGGTGGCCCTTTTCCAGGCCAGCTGATTATTCTGCTTGGTGCAGGCTACCAGGTACGTGTCCATCACGTTAGCCAATGTCCACCTTGACCTCTTGTCACTTCTGTCCATTCAAGAATGAACATGACATTACATTGCATCACCCCAGGAGTCCTAAATCAGTGACAAAGCATGACATTCACACTTACTTTAAGTATTATTTGATATTGAACAGCTTCTATTTATTTTAAAGGCCCATTCTGAAAGGATTGCGTAGACGGCAACAGCCAGTATTCACTGTCAAAACATCCATGCATCCTGTTCATGCATTTATTAAGCAGACTATTCAGAAAAACTTTATTAACAATTGTGTTACTTGGAAACAGATTTTTAAACTCATAGTCTCTGATTTCCCTCTTCTGAGCAGAGTGGACGGCCTGCGCCAGAAGCTGGAGAGTCAGGGTCTGAAGGATGTGGTCTACATGGTCATCAACCACCAGGGGGAGCAAGCACAGCGCCTGCACACCATGCTGGCACAGAGACTATCAGAGAACATCACACTCTACAAACAGGACACGCAGGAGCCTGATGTCTGGCAGACACTGGGTGGAGAGAAAGATGACTTTTTCATTTATGACAGGTATGTTACCTGTAGTTTTTATTCACATTTTACAAGAACAAATATTGTTATTTTTATTTTCCTCACCATGCTTTTCTATCCCTTTGCCATCAGGTGTGGCCGTCTCACCCGCCACATTTCTCTTCCATACTCCATCATTGGACAAGGCCATGTGGAGAGTGCGATCAAAGACACCTACTGCAAGCGCATCTGTGGGGAGTGCACACATGAGGTACAGACCACACATTTGGCAACACATTTTTATCAAAGATAAGCTCATATACTGAAATCTCTTTTCTGTTTCTATTTTTCAGAGCACTGAGATCCCAGAGGAGTGCAAAGTGAAAGCAGATGCACAGCCTGACGCAGACGGAAGCCCACCTGTGGAGGAAGCCACTGGACATGGTCACCATCATGGGCATCACCATGGCCATGGCCACCAAGGAGATAATCATGGTTTTAACCCTCGTGGCTTTGGTCACAACCATGGTCATCACCATGGAAATCATAATGGCCATGGCGGTGACCATGGACAAAGTCAAAGTCAGCAAGGTGTTAGACAGCAAGACCATGAGGAAGATGGGCAAAGACAAGATCATTTAGATTTAGGCCAGATGCAGCAAGTGATGCACATGCACCAGATGTTACAGGAGGCTCATGTGAGGCCTTGAGTACCAGAGAAGGCTAGGTGAAAGTCAAAGCACAGCTGACAGTGGACAGCAGGCTCTGACAATGAAGCCTCTCCTAAGGCCAGCTGATGCTGACACTGACGCAGGCTGTTTGGCGAGGCAGGCAGTGAGCAGCCGGTCGGTCTCTGACACTGTGATGAGGCGCTGCCCGCCTCCTGACAGTGACACGGACTGATAGGCGATGCAGCCAATAACGTTAGGGAGACCTGACAGTGACGCTTGCCTCCGGCTGACTGACAGCAGCCTCAGCCAGCCCAATGAGCCTGACCCCAAGGTGTGAGCTGAGGATGAGAGCAGCTGTAAGCTGGCTCTGATATCAGTCTCATATTAATACCAGCCAGAAACACCGGGGGCTAAGCGCTCTTTTTACCAACAAGTATTACCCTGGGAGAGGGCAGGGCAATTCCTGACAGCATGTGGGATAGATGAACAGGTCCAACATCACACTGATAAAGACAAAATAAGGTAGATAAACACCAAAAGCAAGTATTGGCAGCTTGTTAAATCGTAACATTTGGCAACAGATATGCAAATAATTGGATTGTGCCTTAAAGAATATATGTCGTGTTTCACCTGTCTCCGCATGTCTGTCAGTGGGTTGCTCTCATCCTTTCTCAGGAGTGTATGTGGTTGTCATGTTCATTAATTGCCTCCTCCATTTTGCTCTCTCCATCCTTTATGAAACCAGGCGCAGAAACTACGCTCTAGTGGCGTCTGTTGGAAGTCAGGCAGGAGAGGGAGGAGAGGGTAGTTCAGGAACATGACAAACACTATAAAACATTTTAAAATTCAGTATCAAAGGATATTTGAGGGAACAAAAAAATTTGAATGTGCAAATACTGAAAAAAGAAATGATTAATTACAGATTTGTGTAATCTTTTATTCGGGGAAACCTGAAAGCACTGGCCCGTTGAAGAGTCCTACATAAAAATTTAAAAGCAAACCTAAAAAGTTTTATACCAGTGATATTTCTATACGTCATGCTATTGATTGTTCTTGAGCACATAAAAGAGCAGTGACTACCACAAATTACTTTCTTTTTGTTTTGAGTCCACAAGCTTAAACATATATCAGGTTCATCTTTCACCACACATGCACGTTTTAAATGTTGGTATTCCTGTATATGTTTTTCTTTGCATTTTCTTTGCAATTTGCAAACATTTATACAAGGCTTGCTTAAAAAAAAAAGAATACAAGGCTCTATTGTGTAGAAAAGGTCAGAGGGGAAAAAAGAATGCAGCAATAAATAACTGTTGGAATACACTCTGTACTTAATGATGGCTTCTGTGGAAAGATAAGTCACCTGGAAAACCTGATGTTTGTACAGAGAACTGTATTGTGGTAAGGTTGTCAAACATGGAAACAGTTGAATAAAGATGGTTGAGTTACTTTTTTAGTGTGTGTGTGTGTTCTTGTCAAAAGTTAAACAGTTTAAAGTATACACAAATGTATAAATTCAAGCACTGTCAAATGTGCTTTCTAAGAGGGGATTGTGGGGTCTGAGGGGAGTGACTCTCGTTATTTGGCAGCCATCCTGCACGTGCCTGAGGGGTCGGACGCATGTGACTTCAAAAAAGCAGAGGGATCATATTACCCATACTTTTACATTTATGATCTTTGTAAGAGTCATGCCATTAAAGTCCAACACACAGATCTCACATCTTAATGTCCCGTATGCTGTTAAATAAAACTGTTGTCAGTAATGTATTTTGGAGTAGATTTATATAAAGGGTGCTTTTAGACTGTTTTGCCCAATATTTGTCAGCAGATGGCGATGAAGGTCAACACAATAAACCACCATCACATTCTCAATAACTGGTGAGTTTACTGGTGGAGCTTGTCCTCCTTACTGACCTCATATAGACATACCACATTCTTTGAAATCTCCACCCAAATGAGCTTTTAACAGAGTGCCTCTTCACATCAAATCATTAACTAACGTCACTTTTTTATTCTGATAAATCACTAGCATTTTCAAGGATTGTGCATGTGTATTTCTCCATGTTCACTTGTGGACAAACACAAGCAATTCTGATTTTGTATGCACGTGAGCAACACATAATGGCACACCTCCAGCAGGGGCAGATCTAGACAAATAATCATGGTATGGCAGAAATATAAGCTGATTTAATTGCAAACAATCAGTATTTATCTAGGAACCAAAAAAACCCACCAAAAAAATATATTTTAACTCATAAACATTACATTATTATGGCACGTTAGTAAAGCATTGAATATACATATCTAAAGGTGGCATTATAAATCAATTGTTAGATAGAATTGTTTTTAATTTACAATTGCATTTTTCCAAATAAATTTTTTCATCACTTAGTCTAAAATGTGTCCATAACTGATCATTAAATCATTTCCGTTATTTAACACATCATTTTTAAATTCATCTAAATTAATGTGTTAATCTGACAGCATTTGACAATAAACTGGGCAGCAGCTGCACCCATCCCTGTAGATCTGCCCCTGATGTCCAGTGCCAGCTCGAATAATTTGTAGGAGCAGTCATTAATTAACAAAATCCATCCTGTTTGATCAGTTGTGGTTTTTACATATTTTGGTTCCTCAACTATATAGCTAGTTTGTCACATATATATGTATGCACATATTGTAGATTGATGATACACTTGTTACATCCCTCTTTTAGTATTTGTGATACTGATGATGAACACGATACACATTTGGTTTGTCGGTGTGGTATTGTTTATTTGTGTTTGTGTACTTGCCTTGGATGCATGTAATGTTAAAAAATGTGCCATCACCAAGAGAGGCATCTTAAACAAAATTTTTAATGGCAATGCACAGCTCAAAACCTGTGAAACTGTCTTCAAGACTTTAAGTGCAACACCCTCTGCTTGGTATAATGTATCTGAATTGCCTGTTGGACTGTGTGTCTGAAAAGGTCAACAAGCAACTGAAGGTAATAAATGAGGCCGAGGTGGACTGCTTGTGTGGGCGTAATTGGGCTGAAGATCCAATACAGGGGCACAGTGACTTATGGGTAATTACCTGCAATGTCCTGAGACGAAGAGCTGTGAGTGGCTGTCTCTCTGATTCAATCAGCCCCACACAGAGCAGTGCAATACACAGCCTGTGTCTTAATTGTCCTATATGCTTTCCCCACGATGCGCAACTGTTTCTGCAGCCGTTTCCTCTCCACTTACTCCAGGACAGAGAGAGAGAGAGAGAGAGAGAGAGGGGGAGAGAGAGAAAGAGAGAAAGAGAGAGAGAGAACTTGTGAACTCATTCACACACACAAAGTGCCTCTGTGTTGCTTACAAACGAGTACACAAGTTCTCCACCCTACAACCACCGCACAATTCCTATTTTCCCCTCTCACACATACACAAAACCATTTGCATTTGAACTCTCCCACACCGGGCTGTACATTTTGTTCATTAACGGCCTTTTCTGTCACTGAGTGCTGATCTGATCTGACCTTTACTGTGCAGTGTGCTGCTTGTGTACTTAATGAAACAGTTGGCAGCGAGCTAAGGAAGTCTTGTGTAACTTGTGAATTACATTTAAAATGTAATTGAAATTATAATCAGTAACATGATCTTGATAACCCAGTGAAATCTAATTTGTTTATTTAGTTTACTTTTGCATTTCCAACACTAACATTAGATCATTTGTTGAATATACTGTTACTGTCAGTCCAATTTAAGGTGTGGTTAGAACAAGGCTTTAGAAACACACAGAAAGTCTTCGGAAAGCAATTTCAAAATACCTGTTCAATGTTCTATTTTATTTTTTATCGACAACTGATGACAAAACGTAGACAAGATGATTGAGATGCCACATACATACATTTATTGTGTAACTTGTTGAAAAGCTTATTGATCACACATACAACACCAGAAAGGCTCAACTGAACAATATCAAATCATCAAAGATCAACACAGTTCTTGGCCTTGAGTAAAACAGCAGCCAACAGACAAGAACAGTGGCTCCAAGGTCAAGATGGTGTGAAAATATGATTGAGGCACGATAATGGAGCAAAGTTGCTCATCAGTTAATGAAGCCAATAAAAACAGATCAATTATGGTGCTAGGGTTTTCCACACGAGCAACCGCAAAGCAGCTGTTTCCAATTCTAAATTGTACATTTTTTGTTTTATAAGTCTGAATGACACGTCAGACAATAACAGTGCACACACTACTCATGCTGCCCCATCCACTGTTGTCAGCTAAGGTGGTGGGGTGATCTTAGAGCTCTAAGCAGACAAATAAATAACATGTGAATAGAAATTACAGAGAGGAGCCACTGAACTTAGTGATAAAAAACCAGGTATATGCTGTACTCAAGTCAATAATTAAACTATTTCCCAAACAAGCTGAAAAATGTCTGGCTGAACTCTCTTTGTTTGATAAAGAGTTGCATACAACCAGCACATATTTCGGCACTCAAGATTACTTCCAGGCTTAACAGGGCGACAAAAGCCACCCTTGAACCGACGCAAAACCAAGAAGCTGGAGGCCAAAATACATTATTATAAAACACTGTAGCCTCTTCAAATGCACTTTTCAATAATGAAATGCAGTAATCACATAGTGGGAGAAATTTAAGAGTGTAGAGTTACAGTATAACTATTTCACTCTGCCTATATTTTGATATGACTTCATAAAATACTATATTTATCTGCTCTATTTATCCATAAATCGTATAGCAAACATTAAATACTCCATTACAGTACATAATTCTATCAATCTGGTAGTGTAAAATATGTCCTATAAACATAAACTCTGTAAAACAAAACTGAAGCTTATTGATATTGAAGGATCCTCACTGTCTGATTATTTTGCTGAATAAAAAACATAATGCTGTTTTATGATAACAGGCAATTCATAGACTTGATCTAGTCCAAAATACAAAATCTGAATACTATCTTAAACATCAGATATATATGTGTGTACAAAGTGCTTGCTCTAAAGTGTCTGAAATATTTATAAGATTGAAATAACAGTTGCAAACTTTTACACATTAATGAGCTCATTGTGAACTGGCAAAAAAAAATAAAAAAATAGTAAAAAAAATGCAGACACAATGTAGTAAACACCTATACAGTAAGCTTGAACAAAAAAGCACCTTTTAATTTATCTTCAATTTATCTTCCTTTGCTGTAACCTCTGAAAAAAAAAACACTTTCATTGATTTAACCTTTTTTTCCCCTACAACTTTTCCTCAATGGTAAATCATAATTGCATTGCCTATTCCAGTTTGCACACATACACAATCACCGTGGTACCAATGAAATGGAACCTTAACAGTGCTTTGTCCATAATCACACAGAGCCTTCTGGGGATCTTTAGATGGTCGTAAACACTGTGAATGTTGGATGAGCATCACAAGGTCGCTGTATTGCAGCTTGACTTTGGGGCAAAACCGTCCTATTGTTGCTACTGATAACGAATAGCTGAACCAAATCATACCCTCCCATTTCTTCCAGGCAACAGAACATTTTCAGTATCATCCAATTTGCAGGTTTTATCACAAACATTTACACGTACACAATAGTGATTGTTGCACTCTCTTGAATGACCCCTTCCCACCCTAGTAAGGCTGAATGTAAGAAAAAGACATGTACCGAGCAGCAATACATACTAGTAACATTAATGACATAAAAATATATAATATGTAATCTTACAGCACTAGTAAATATATTAAGACATTTCTGCAACAGCATTGACTTGCTGGTATCATCAGCACTAGGCAACGACAAAACACTGAGCTTTTTTTTTTCAAAAAAGAGAGACAGAAAGAGAGAAATGGCACACATCTATCATATTCACATTTCTAAACATTGTCATTGTATGGCTCTTGCTTTGTCTCTCTTCATTATGAGATTGTCTGATACAAAGAAAACTGTTAAAGGCAAGGTGTGTTTGTGAATTACGTTTTGTGTGATGTGACTATCTGAGGCTGCCTTGATGCAATAACAATGCTTCTGACTGATTCATGGACTTTTCATTGTGTTGTATCACAAAACCTTGCACAACCTCTATTGACCTAAGCTTCTTTTATGCAGTATGCTATGCTGCTGTGTGTGTCACATGCATATTGTCAAAGCCTTGATAACAGAATTAATTGGATGAAAACATATGAAAAGCTTAAAACCTTTACAAAAGGTCTCCTCTGCTATCCTCTCACCCACACAGGCCATGACTGATTATTACAAGATTATACTGTCAATGAATCAAGGACAAGATTACACTACTAGCTAATCTGACTAAATAATTGATTAAGCAACATATTCTGACTGAAGTTTAGTTTTATTCTAATAAAAGTATGGGGACAAAGTAATTAGTAATTCATTACACACATATTGCCCACTTAAGGCTTATCTACAGTCTATTTATTTGTTACTATATCAGTACTTGCCTAGCTTAATTGCATACTTGATCATCATTTTCGGTTTGGACATTGCAGTCACTTTTACGAGACAATCTCAGCTCATTCATTTTATGACTGTGTCAGGAATTCAAAATGAAATGTCAATTAAGGCAAATGTTTTTCATGTAATGTGTGCGAGCATGCATGTTACTGTGTTGTTGCATGTTGTAGTGAACCCCGCACAGAGAGGCTTTACACCAATTCAGCGATACGTAGCGCTACTTGCCTGTACATAGCAAGGCATAAATGCACAAATCCTGTTTACGAGAGCATAGTTCAGCACAGAAATGACGAGCCAATGACACTATCATAGGCACAGGCTGATAATAAGAATACAATGTTAGCTAATTACAGCTATCACATACTTTCACAGTCTTTCAACTTGTTCCAGTTGCTGTCCCTGCAATAACAATGTAACATGAGAACAATACTCTCAAGTAGAAAGCTTACTCATTAAGGTTTCAGTATGAGTGACAGGTTATGAGTGAGTGCTAGTTGGCTGCAAATAACCGGTTTCTCTGAACTGCTGTGTGTGTGTGTGTGTGTGTCTGTGTCCCTGCTCATGTGCTAAATAACTATATTAACGTGCCTTTGAGCAAGGCACTTTGTGGTTCTCAGTGTACTACACTACACACAGTCTGAATAAATCCTTCCTCTTATTACAAGAACTTCTGTTAAGCGGTGAAAGTGATGCAGTATGTATGTCAGTATGCATGTCAGAATAAAATGAAAATAAATAAACACAGGTTAAAAGAAAATGTAATGCTGGGACATGTATCATCAGTCTAATATTCAATACGTGCCAGGAATTCATTTATGATGAATTTCCCTTTTATTTGTCACTTCTACTTCAGTTAATGATTTCCTTCATTTCCCAGAATGCCTTTCAATATCCCCCAAGGAAGGAAGGAGATATAAGTATGTGTTATTTGTCTGTATCTTTTTGTTCCAACTACTCATCGTCTGTGTGTGTACATTTATAATGTATGCTTTGTTGAAAGTATGTCTTCTATTAAACTCTGTTGTGGCTGTAGAGAAAATATATCTTGACATCATGTAATCTACACTGGGCCACTTATTCATGAAAATATGTAAAGCATACTGTTAAACAAAGTGAAGCCAGGAATGCAAGGTAAAACTGCATAGCTGTGTTTTTTAACTGTATCTTAGGTGGGTTTTTTTCCTTTAGCTAATGCCTTTTTGTATAAAAATATATCTCTAGTGAAGTACTAATAAGATGACATGATGCAATAAGAAATGTAAGAATACAAAATAAGCCACAATTGAGCGGCAAAACACCTCTGCCAGCAAGAGGTATCAACAACAGCAATTACTTCTTCTCAGTGTGGTGTGAAATACATGAATGTGTCTTCTCCCAAGCAAGCATACGCTGACACCTCTCTGTAAAATTAAGACTTCATCAAAGCCATTACTCTAAACACAAGTTAGCCAGAGGTGTAATGCGATACAAGGCAGTTTAGCAGTGAGCTAATGCTTCTTTACTCACTACGATCACAGTCTCAGCCTATTAATGTGTGTGTGTCTTAGAATAGAGCAAACTGTGCATTTGGTTTGTGACGTTTACATTTGGCCACCTCTGCATCAAATCGTTTGATGGAGCGGGTGTAAAAGAGTCAAGAATACAGCGTGTGGCTTTTCACGTCTCCCTTTTGACACCCTCTGAAAACAAACACCTGTACTCTCTCATCCATGCAAGTTATTTGGTTTCCAGCAGGAATCAGGTAGAAACAGGCTTTTGTGACCACAGGGGACTTCCCGGTCATTCAACCTCGCACCTAAAGGCCTAATGGCATTGTGACTTCATGGTGAGAGGTTACCCAGCAGGTCTGGGGTGATGTACCCTATGGGCATAGCTGGTAAGGCCTTAAGGGGTTGCTGTGGCAGGCAGGGAGGGGGAGACTGGCGGGGAGGCGGGTTGAGGAGCAGACTGTGTTGACTGTCCACCTCCTGTACTACTGTGTAGTCTGCAACAGGGGCAAAGAACTGGGACTGGGGAGAGTCAGGAAGAATGTAAAGTGATTGATTATCCTCTGCTGTGGCTGCAGGTTTGGTCTCCACTGGCTGAGAGTGTATGGTTTGATACCCCTCGCCAGGCATGGGGGAGCTAGGGGGAGTGCTGATCTGCCGGGCGTTGATCTCCGTGGTGTAGCCGCTTCCTTCAGGATCCACGACCAGCAGCTGAAACTGCAGATCCTTCTGCTTCTTTTCCTCCGTGTCCTTGCATTCGTTCCCCTTCTTTTGTGTTTCCCCGTCTGTGGCTGAGGTGCTCTCCTGAATTCTGAGTTGCTGGCCAGGCGACAGCACCACTCCTCCAGAGGGCATCACATTGCTGACCTGAGCATAGAAATCTGTGTTAACCCAGGTCTGTGGCCCTCCAGTTTGGGTTTGGACTAGGGGCCGCTCCCCACTGACTGGGGCCGGGGCTCTTTCTCCAACATCGAAACAGGCATCTCCGTCCTCGGGTTGGCCTGGAAGCAGAGTGGCCATCATCTTTAGGGTGTCTTGCTCAGGCAGATCTGGGTCATAACAGCTGGCACGGCCTGAGTCATCATCGGGGAAGCTTGGTGGAAAAAAAACAGGGATTCATATTTGTAGAGCTATCTGACAGCATGAAAACATCCCTTTTGCAAGAGAAATATCTGTGCAGTACCTGATGACATTGGCACATCCTATGTTCATGTGGTTGCTGACGGGTTGTAGCAGCCCCAGGAGCTTCTGGGTGTCTGAGCCCTGGTTGTCCTCCCTCTCTCCGGCATCTGCATCCTCAGCATCCACTTCGACGAACTCCACCCAGGGCTCGTCTTGGTAGAAATCTGGTGCATATGTTGGTAGGCCACCCATACCACCACCGCTTAGGATAAAATTGAGCTCGTCCAGCTTTCCTTTCTGCATGTGCACAAATTTGTATGTTTTAAGCACGTGCAGCAGGATCAGAATCAATTTTTCCTATTCTCTACACAGCATTGTGACTAATGTGTAAATATCAGCTACAAACACAACAGGCTTTGCGTTTCACCTTTGTCTGGGCAACAACAGAATTATTGTTCTATTCTTTCCTCTCAGGAGTTTTTTTTTCCCGAGGTCCGGGGGTAAGGATGTTTTGTAAAGAGCAAACAGGCTGCCTGTTAAATGCATCCCACATAATCTGGCAAAAACAGACCCACAACACAACACAACACAACTAAGGCCCTCTTCACATTTATTTCACCCTCAGTGGTCCTCCTGTCCTTGTTTACTTACACAAAACAAAAGTGCTTGTTTGCTTTTAAATTATTTATGGACATTTTTGCTTTTATTTGAGGGTTGACGCAAATGATAAACAGGCTGTGCTTCTGAGAGGGACAGTGGGTGATGATGATGATTACGTGGCCTGCAATGCCTCCGCCAACTGAGCCACATGGACGCCCAGCAGCCAGAAGGGTCTGTTTTTAATCAAAATTACAATGGCAATGTAATGAAAAAACTGGTTACACAACACTTATATAATCACTTTACTGAATAAACAATCCTCAATAACATATGTTGGCTGCTGTTAATTATCCATCACAATTTTGCTCTTTGTGTATACACAGTAGAATATAGTTATGAGTATGTATTAGAGTCCGACCTATTGGACTTAAAGGAGAGTTAAATAATCCCTCTCAATCATCTTTTATGACCCACTAGAAGTATGTGGCAGTTTCTGTATCTGCAGAAACCCTGCCCTCTGCCTGTATGTTTTTATTTTTCTGTGTTTGGGGCGTTTTTGGGTGTCAAACTTTAGGTAGTGGGTGTGTAGCCCTCTGCCAATAACAGTGAGTAAACACTGATTGGAGAGGAAGCTACGCTGTGTGCTTCTGGTTTCGTTCAGCCATGGAGGAGGGGCCAACTTTGAATGCTGTGTTTACAAACTACTCAATTCTGCCATTAAAATTACAATACATGAGCCAATATTTGTTTTGCTAAATAAATGTATAACATGAATCCAGTAAACGTTGCTTATTAATATATGTATGAACTGAGTCATTTTACAGATAAAAAAAATAAAAATTTCATTGCTCTCTGGTGGATAAATGATATAATGGTGACACTATTTTGAATTACCACAAACATACATCATCTTTGGCATGTGTATTACTGCAATTTATTGGTATAAAATATATGCCGATAACAACACATCTGCAACAAGCAAAGACCAAGTATGCTAATGTTTAGGTCGGGGTCTTGGATGTATGTTTACATTAGAAAAATCACAGCAAAGGCAGAATAACAACACAGACATAAATGTACCTTTAACAGCTCTGGATCGATGCCTTTAATTTTGGGCGCAGGAACCAGTGGCAACAGAATCATCATTAATCTGCAACGGCAGGGGAGACATGATGATGATGGTAATCTGTTTACACTTGTCAGTATTTGTGTGTGCGTGTGGCCTGGCAAATGAGGCCACGCTGAGAGCTGCTTGGCACTTTCTGCTGTGAATTTTGGAAATGTATCGTCCTGCTGTAACTGCCGTCATTAATTCAGTAGCGGTTGAATATGTTTTGGGGTAGATGCATGAAAGAGTGAGATAGTCCGTTCCTACCTGTGCTGCTGAGAGACGACAACTAGCATGATGAGTATGAGGATCCCCACAACCCCAAAAACAAGAACAAGCATGAGCGGGAAAGTAGACTCTGAAAAACAACATGAAACAGAACCCATGGTCGTCATCACAACTACAATGTTTCCGGTTGTTCAAGGTGGTGCACCCTGTATGTCTGACCTAAATGAAGCAATGAGCCAGATATAATATTTTTTTTCATTTATCTAAAAGATTGTTTCGACCCATCATGATGTTACCTTTGCCAGGAACCTCAGTCACTTGAATGAAGATGGAGTCGCTGAACTCTCCAAACTTTGTGAAGGCCTGCATCCTGCAGCGGATGTGCACTTCGTACTCTTTTCCTATGTGCAGACCATAGATAGTCTGCTGGGTGTGCGGCTGAATCTCCAACTGAAATGCAGAAACACATAGAGAGAGGAAGAGAGAGAGAGAACAAAACACAGAGAGTGAATTTAAAATGTTTTTATAAATTATCAGAAAATGATTCAGCTTTTGTTTATCCCTACAGCTACAAATGAAGCTTACTAAAGCTTAACAGTCAAGGGGTCTATGTTTATTTTTGGTACCTGTAACGGTGACCTTTCCAAAATTCCAGTTGTTGAGGCATTTCAGATACATTAGACAGAGGACATACTGTTATAATGGTGGGCTCTAAAACTGTTTCCAAGGCTGCATTTGTCAGACTGGCTGGCCAGGCAGCAATGAATATGAGCCTGTTCAAGGTCCCATGGCCTCTGACCTACAGATCCCTCCCTTCACTTCCTTCAGAGAGGCTGTGTTTTCCCAGAGGGCCTTGCTCTGCCTTCCACGGCCTTGCCAACAAAGCTACACTGCATTTTAGCCACAAGAGTCCACGGGGGAGGGGAAAGGAAACACGACACTGTGCCTCTATGACCTACCTACAATTTACTTTAAGAGGTTGCATGAGTGTTTGCATTTGTGTGAGGTTGTGCATGTGTACAGAGACATTTTGTGAAGTTTAAAGGTGTGTTTAAATGTGTCAGGACATATAACCATGCATGTGCACAAAAGCAAAGGAGGAAGAGAGAGAATTTAAGGACAAGTAAAAGAGAGAAAACTTACTGCTTCCCAGTTTGTGGTATTTCTCTCTCTGTACTGGATCTCATACTCAATGCGCATCCAGCCTGCACTGACGTCTGCAGAGGGTGGGGGCTCCCAGTTGACCATAACATCAAAACTTAGTCCAGAGGGACTTATATTCAGCAGGGTCCAGTTTAAAGACACTGGTGGGTCAGGACGCACTGTTAGGAAAAGGGTAAACGTTCAGTTAGAACAAAATGAATATCATTGAACATGGTAAGTTAAGACATGTCTTTGAATGCACTTGATCACGTGTTGATGACAAATAAATATTTACAGTTAATCAAAGGAACTACTGTATATGTCCTATAAGTCAATGAATTTAAAAAAAGTATCCTGTATGTTTATTTTTTGCTAGCACCATGATGATAATGATGATAATATACTTTATTAATCCCCAAGGGGAATTTCTTTTTTTCACTCTTACTTTATGCACATGCAGGGCTTATAGACATAGAAATGTGGAGAGATGGTGGAGTTATGGGCTGCCACGTAGGGGCGCTCCGCAATCAGTTAGAGGTTGGGTGCCTTGCTCAAGGGCACCTCGGCAGTGCACAGGTGGTGGAACTGGCACCTCTCCAGCTGCCAGTCCACACTCCATACAGACTAAGCTGCTGCAGCCCAAATCATGTGCCCTATATCAACATACAGACCTACAGCAAGTTTTGCTAGTGTCATAACAATCAAATTAATACTCGGTGGTACTCCACCATACTTAACCGTTCAATGAAGTCAACAAAATGTTTACTAATACGCTAGTCTTAACCCTACCAATTGTGGGGCTAAACATGTAAATATTGTTTTGACTATGATAAAATTTAAAGGGTGTCTCCTCAAACTTCATGACAATTTGTCCAATTAGATTAAAAGTTATTCTGTGTAAATAGTTAGCACTTTGGCCCAAGGGTTGCGCAAGGAAGGAAGAAGGAAAACTCATGGAGTGGAAAGAGAAATGCAAAAATTCTCAGTAAATGTAATGGAAAGTTGCACATTACAAATTTATACTTAGGTAGGAGTAGAACTTTTGGGCATGGGTCACCAAAAACATCAAGATTGAGCATCTGGGGGCTGTGAATATTTACAGCAAACTTCCTGGAAATCCTACTGTGAGTTCAGCGGTAATTAACATCCAAATGTTATTGATAAAGACAAGCTGATAATCACTTTGCACATAAGATGAGAGCTAATAAACAAAGGTTTCTTCATGGAAGAGGTATCAATGAACATATGACATTGCCATGTGATAATACAGTATATCAGCATCTTCTACAGTCCTGGTTAGATAAAGAAGACCGTCAGACATCAAAACATTTAACAAGTAAACACTGTGTATCTGACACACTATCACCCTGTGATATTGGCAAGCATGTGACATTTGCTTCAGCTGATATGCAGCAGCAAATATCATTTCTTGGAAGCCCTTTGTACAGGTGATCTATCGTTTTAGCAGGACCCATTTTTTTTTACATGTCAGGGTAACAACTGTGCTAGAACATGTTTTACAAATTCCGACTGGAAATGTAAGATAGAATTGCCCTTATTCATTGTATATATTGCAAAATTCAAATTAAAAAAAATTCTGATATATGCACAGATTTCTCACTAACCGATATTCTCCACAGTGAAACAGTCATCCTCATTGAAGTAAGTGATGTTGTTTAGGCTGCGGAGCTGCATGCAGTAGGGGATCCAAACAGATGTGTGGTTTACGTCAAAGAAGCACTCCCTGTTTGAATGGATATACTCTGGACACTCTTTCCATTCACTGCTGGGTGAGCTGAAGGAGGGAAACAATAAAGGAAGAAAGAGAAGAAGAAGCAAAAGAGGAAATAACTGTCAACTGAAGGCTGGAGTGTTTTTACTTGAACTTCTCCTGGTAAAGTATGCTATGACACTCACTCTTTCTTAATGTAGAAGACTCTGAGTGCTCCAGGGGAGGACAGGTTGTTGAAGCTGCCTGGACTCCACCAACATCGGAATGTCTCCTGGTCCCTCGATATGCATTCAGTGAAATGAGGTTCAAGGGGAGCTGAAAGACAGAAGGGCACCAATCAGAGACAGAACAAACAAATGAACTCAGATAGCATTAGGCGGATCAATCACCTGTATTGACATCTATGAACCCTAAAGAGGGGATTTAGATTTATCAATGCAACAACACTGATAAAATCCAACCCTCATTATCCCCACTCCATCCTCAAACCATGACTTCTGCGAATCGGCACAAACAACTGTCACTTTTTCACAGTAGATACAAGTGAGGTAGCTGCAATTCTATCTAAACCTCAAGGTAAGAGTGATACCAACATGCCACAATGCAAAATAAATAACAATACCTCAAGTTTACCACCCATCCTTGAAGTACTGAAAGATTGTCAATAAAATGTTGTAGTTGTGACCTTTAGACATTGTGTGTAATCCTGTTATTTAGGCACAAGGAGCTGTTACACAAATCCAGAATACTTCTTTTGTAGCTTGTGTAACATGACGTTTGACGAAGTATTTCACCAACACAAGCTGGCAAATGTGTCAGTGTACATTGCATTAGGATCACATAATTTCCTTAATGGAGGTTATGACCTACCTGTAGCTGCCAGCTGCCATGAGAAAAACACATAACCTGGATAAAAAGCTATGTAACGTGCAGCGAGGGTAACACTTTCTGCTGGCGGGAGATAAGGCTCATTATCACTCTGCAGCTGATGTTAATCTAAAACTGACTCCTGCTATCTGTGAACCTGTGACACACACGTGAGTAGGAAAACAGCTTGTTGAAAGATGCCGTTACTTTGCATCAAATTTTACTCACCATGCCTTCGTAACCTTTCGATCTATCCACACAAATTTTATACCATTTCTCCTCTACCCCCAACCTAAGGGCCCTGACTCAGCCCTTTCCACCTCTCCCTCGGCACCCTGTCACTCCTCATCACCAATTCCCCGCCAACTCCCTCCCCTGTCGGAGGCCAGTTTCTCATCCAGCTGAGAGTCCCAGGGCTTGGTGCAACCATAAATAAGCAACTGAAGGTATCATTGATTTCTGCTCTATCCGCTCTCCTCCAGCACTGGCTGCAGCATAAATCACACACAGACCCAGAACATAAACATTCTTCACAACACAAGGCAAGGAATTAAAGACAGACTGGAGAAATACTCTGCAAATGCAGCAGAGGATAGTTTTTTGAGTTTATAGACATTAAACAAGAATTATCTCAAGATAAGACTCACTAAATGTTGCTAAGTCTTTCTCAAGAACTATGAAATACTACAGCAGCATATACAGTATGTGCATGTGTACAACACTTGCACACAAGACACACACCCGGCCAGCATGCATCCCTTGTTAACATAAACATACTTCTAACCACCACAACTAAACACCCTAACAAACAAGCCCAAGCCCAGGCAGACCAGACTGCATCATTTATTCACACAGAATGTACACCATTACTTTGATTGCTTTGCTTACTTTCTATTTGATGCCGGTGTAACCTCATAATTCATTGCATTCCTACACCATTGTGCTTCTAGCTCTCAGCCCTTGCTCCCCCTTTCCCACCTTCCCTCCCTTCATCTTCTGCACACTGTCATGGTTCCCAAAGCTTTGCTATTTCAACCCGGCCTCCCTCCCCCTTCCAACAAATTCCAGCTGCCACCATCAAAGAGCTTTCTGCAGACACTGGATGCAAAGGAGAGCTTAGAACTACAGCAGGACAGATTGCATAAAAAGTAAAATAACACCTTGAAAATTCATGTTTTTGGGTTAAAATATATCCTTGGCAATCCTGACAGCTCAATCAGTCTTTTATTTATACAATGTTTTTTGATTTGCTACTTTAAACTCTTGCTCGTATGCAATTATTTACATAATAACAAATGTCTGAATGTCATCTCACAGCTGTTGCTCTATTCTTGGTGGAGAAGACTCGAAAGCATACAGGCAGTGTTTTGACAGTTAACCTCTCCATAAAGAATGAGGTTCTGCTGGTAAAGGTCAGAAGATACAGCCATTTTTAAAAAGTTGTTTGTATTTCTGAACATGGCCAGTGTCAGAGGTGAAATGTTGTGCAGCAACACCTGGAGAGACTCAAATTCCCACCTTATTCTCAATGTCTCTCTTTCTCACTCATTTGATGACTGTCATACTTCTCAATTTCAATTTAGGTCAATTCAATTTGCTGTATTGGCATGAGTGTAACACGCACAATGTTGCCAAAGCATTAAAGGGGAACGTGGCAACTTTTTCAGCTTAATAAA